CTCTCTCTCTCTCTCTCTCTCTCTCTCTCTCTCTCTCTCTCTCTCTCTTTCTCTTTCTCTCTCTATTTCATCTAACCGTACAGAACAACTTGTTTGGTCGATTTACCGTTGTCCCACTTAGAAAGATTGAATTCCGAGGACCACTACGTTGAACGAGCAAAACGTTTCACGTTCGTCGTTCGTAGACAGCTTCTAAAGCATAGCAAGCTTCGCACGGATTAGTAAATGCTGACAACAATTTATGGACATAACTATAAGATAAATGTATCGTCACATACCTACATATTTTCGATATATACATGTATATACGTGTTTTATATACGAACAACATGTATACGAGAAAATAATGTTTCTGTATCATACCAAATGATGTTTGACGTTTTGCGAAACGATTTTTGTTTTCACTTTTTTATTGAAGTGAAAACTTCTTTAGAATGGGAGTGATCTGAAAAGTAAATAAACGGAAACGGAGCTATGTAACGAAGCTATGTAACGAAGCTATGAAACGGCTGCCATACTAAATAATGAGAGAAAAAGAGAAACATAGGATTCAGACTGCGAGGGAATGAGACGGAATATAACTATACAGTTTTTCCTATTCTCGGTCTCCTCTTTATGCTATTCTTCGTAGTTATCGCTCCTGGTTGTATATGTGTGTGTTTGAGTGCGACTGCATACTACAAAGCGTAAACACACATATTCTTGCGATACTCGAAATGTTTGTAGGTAGGAGCGATAGAAGGGTAAAAGAATAAACAGAGATAAGCACGTAGGTATGCGACAAAAGTATAAGGTCCAAACGAACCGACGGTCGACATAAACAAAGAAGGTGCGTGATATGTTTGTTTTTTTACCAAACGTGTCACTTCTTTTCTATTTAAAAATGTTTCTATTTTATTGAAAAATTACTATTAAGATATTTATTTCGCAAATATTATAATTACCAATTATAAAATATATAGAATATAGTAATTGTATTGTCTGCAAAATTTTACAAAAAAAAAAA